TATGTATATTTTCACCAAAAAAAAAAAAGGTCCTCCAAGGTCAAGAAAAGAGAGTGTTGACATGTCATGGGGTTGTTAACCAATGCCATGAAACAATATGTGTACTGACTCTTTAACGAGAAACTATTTGTTCAGTAAACCTTCACCTAAAGAACAATAAAAAAAAAATTTTTTTTTTTTAAATGTTGATAACTTTTAAATCGGGGGTCATTATATTATTCCATTTGTATGTACACTTAAAGTTTTTCAATGAAAGAAGAAAAAAAAGAAAGAATAAACAAACCAGGGTTACCTTTTCCCAGTCAATTCAACTTGGCCCTTCTTATTGATGAAGAACTTGGAATCATTATATCCCCATCCATTCCATTTCAGAACTTCTTGCCTAATGAGAACAAAAAAGCATATAAATGAGAGCTATGCTAAATATCTCCGAACTGAAAAGTGCATCATTGATTAACTTTCACAATCATTTCAAAGGAGACCATAAGCCCACTAATATTGTATTAGTTTAAATAAAATAAGTACATATCAAAATGTCTCTACATTAATATTTCTAAAGATAGAATCATTCCAAGGAGCAGCACCAGCTTCACAGAGGGCTACAACCGCTAAACATAATGCATTCAAAGGAAGAAGAAAAAGGAAGAGGGAAGAAAAAAGGTTAAGTTTAGAGTATAAATATGTTTCATTTTGTACACGTTATTGAGTTTACACTCTAGGGTGGCCTAAAAATTTTTACAATTAAAACTAGGAATTCACTTGAAAGGAAACAAAGTTCTGCATGTCTGAGAAAAATCATAATCATTAATCTTCTGCTGTGATGAAAAAGGCCAATTTATAAGGTGGGTTCACTAGTAGATTAAAACTCTGAGTAGTAAGGAGAGGTCATGGAAGCTCCACAGACACATCCGAACTCCCTGAGGGACTGAATTGCTGGGAGGAGGTCTGTGGGGACCATGGTCTCAGGGAACATCTAGCTCAACTGGCATAACAGTTTATAAAGAAAATGTTCTACATTCTACCTTGGTGAGTAGCTTCTGGGGTCTTAAAAGCCTGTGAGCAGCCATCTAAGATACTCCACTGGTCTCACCCCTTCGGGAGCAAGGGAGAATGAAGAAAACAAGACACAAGGGAAAGAACAGTCCAAAGGACTAATGGACCACAACTACCACGGCCTCCACCAGACTGAGTCCGATACAACTAGATGGTGCCCAGCTACCACCACTGACTGTTCTGACCAGGATCACAACAGAGGGTCCCAGACAAAGCTGGAGAAAAATGTAGAACAAAATTCTAACTCACAAAAAAAGACCAGACGTACTAGCCTGACAGAGACTGGAGAAACCTGTGAGTATGGCCCCCGGACACCCTTTTAGTTCAGTAATGAAGTCACTCCCGAGGTTCACCAGTCAGCCAAAGATTAGACAGCCCCATAAAACAAATGGGGCACAACAGTCCAAGGACAAGGACTAGAAGGCAGGAGGGGATAGGAAAGCTAGTATAGGGAACCCAAGGTTGAGAAGAGACAGTGTTGACATGTCGTAGGGTTGTTAACCATTGTCATAAAACAATATGTGTACTGTTTAATGAGAAACTACTTGTTCTGTAAACCTGCATCTAAAGTACAATAAAAAAATTTTTTTAAAAATCTGAGTACTGAGTTTACAAACATTCTGAATTCTTCAACTTTCATGTAACTACCGATCTCTACCTTGACCTACATATCGTAACAGTTAATGACCACACCAGTTTTCAGTATTCCAAACACGCTATTTTCAATTCCCAAAATACCAGTATTTCATAGTTTTAAAAATCATTTTCACCAAGATCATTCAATTTTGCACATTACGTGATAGGTTTGAGCCTGTGCAGAACGCTATAAGCAACCACACTTAAGTATTCCATCATTGTTTAGTACATGTTTTAGAATAGTACCCTAGTGTGATCTGAACTATTGAAACAAACTGGTGATGAATCTTCTTACTGAAAATTCAACTACATCGTTTATGACGAAAACATTAAGAGCTCGGCTGCTAATGGAAAGATCCACAGTTCGAAACCACCAGTGGCTCCTCAGGAGAAAAGACCTGGTGACCTGCTCCTGTAAAGATTACAGCCTAGGAAACCCTACTGGCCAGTTCTATTCTGCCATACTGTCATATAGGGTCACTGTGAATCAGAATTGTCTTGATAGCACACAACAACAACAACAATCTTTACAGGAGCAGATCACCAGGTCTTTACTCCCATGGAGCTGCTGGTCATTTGGAACTGCAGACCCTTCCATTAGCAACTGGGAGCTTAACTACTGCACCGCCAGGGCACCACTCCCAAAAAACTACTACCATCGAGTCGATTCTGACTCATAGCGACCCTACCCAGGCACTGGGAAATCATTTCAGTATAGATGGTGAATTTGGCATATTTACATGGCTTAACAATAAGAATCACTGTCCATAAAATTATGCCTAGAATTTTTAAAAATTATTCCCAGATAACAAAAAAAAACCCAAACCACTACCGTCAAGTCGATTCCAACTCATAGTGGCACTATAGCGACCCTGTAGGACAGAGTAGAACTGCCCCAGAGTTTCCAAGCACCTGGTGGATTCAAACTGCTGACTTTTTGGTTAGCAGCCGTAGCACTTGACCACTACGCCACCAGGGCTTCCATACCCAGATAGGCCCAAGTAAAAAGCTAAACCTGGTTACATGTACTCACTCTCAGTACTTCACGAGGAAATGAATCAAGGTGAGTAGGGAAGATCTACAGCTCTACACTAAAAAGTGAAGAGATTTACATACTGAAGAATCTTTGACCTTAAATTTTCAAGTTAGGTAATATCCTTAAAAAAACTTCTGTATTTTCAACTGTAAGGTAATGTGACTTTTTCTGTCTTTTCATCCCAAACAGAAAATTCTTCCCTATGACATGGGCCTTACTATATTTACACGAGCTTTTGCAGCCTTCCCAGAAGTTGAAGTATAAGCATTTGGAATGCATTTAAGCTCAAAAACAGTGTTATGGAGCTTAGACAGTATATAATTAATATCTTAAAAAAACCAAACTCAAACCAATCTTCTCACATCTTCAAGATTCCCACGTATTAAATTAAAACGTAGATAAATTTGCTAGGCTTCTGGTTTTAAACTTTATACATACATACCCCATTCAATTTACTAATATATGCTATGATATTTATACATAATTTGTTATTACATTAAACTTTAAAATAACTTCTTACATAGGAGATAGGAGGATAATGAGTACACTGAAGGGCATTATAGAATTAACATTTTAAAAATTAAAGTTTTTTTTTTACTTTTTTTGTTGTTTTTTCCCTTAGAAAAGAGGATGGTAAGACTTTGACTAACTTTATTTGGACACATCATCAGAAAACAAACCAACTGTTAGAAAAAGACATCATGTTTGGCAAACTAGAAGGACAATGAAAATGAGGGAAACCCTTATTGAGATGGATTGGCACAATAGCCGCAACAAGGGGCTCAAACATACCAACTATCATGAGGATGGTGCAGGACTGAGCAATGTTTTGTTCTGTTATACATAAGGTCGTCATGAGTTGGAGCCAACTTGATGGCAACTAAAACAACTCCTTGATTGTACATAGACTTGACTTCCTTTTCTTTGTTATTTACTAATCGTCTCTGTTCAGCCTTTAAATATACTGTTCCTGTGTTTTTTTTAATTGCACTTTAGATGAAGGTTTACAGAACAAACTAGTTTCTCATTAAACAATTAGCACACATATTGTTTTGTGACATTGGCTGCCAACTCCACGACATGTCAACACTCTCCCCTTCTCAACGTGGGTTTCCGGTTAGCAGCTTTCCTGGCCCCTCCTGCCTTCTCGTCCTTGCCCCTGGGCTGGTGTGCCCCTTTAGTCTCATTCTGTTTTATGGGCCTGTCTAATCTTTGGCTGAAGGGTGAAGCTCAGAAGTGACTTCCTTATTGAGCTAAAAGAGTGTCCGGGGGGGCCGTAATCTCGGGGTTTCTCCAGTCGCTGTCAGACCAGTTAAGTCTGTTTTCTTGTTTTTGTGTGTGAGTTAGAATTTTGTTCTACATTTTTCCTCCAGTTCTGTCCGGGACCCTCTGTTGTGATCTCTGTCAGAGCAGTTGGTGGTTAGTAGCCAGGCACCATATAGTTGTGCTAGACTCACTCAGTCTGGTGGAAGCTGTAGTACTTGTGGTCCATTAGTCATCTGGACTAATCTTTCCCTTATGTCTTTGGTTTTCTTCACTCTCCCTTGCTCCAGATGGGGTAAGACCAATAGAGTATCTGAGATGGCCACTCACAATAAAAATTAAAGTAAAACTTTCAACAATCACAGAATTCTAAAAAAGTCCTCAGAAACTACCCAAATCAACTACCAATTTTTCAGATAAAGAAACTGCCCAGGGAAGTGCCCCTGGTCACAGCTAAACTAGTGATTAGCATGTGAAGGCTGACTCCCAATCCTGTAATTCTTCCTCTTTGGAGAGGTAATATCTGAAACCCACTAAGTCATGCCCTCAGGTAACCAAAATGATTTAAAGCAACCCTTTCTTCATCGCATCAATATTTTTTCAAGGCACTCTTACATGTTATTTACTATAGTCGTTCTTTCACACATGCCTTGAAAAAAAAAAAAAAAATCAAAGAATATGATTGCTTCAGGCACTGCAAGCACTGCAATGAAGAAGACTGATCAGAGAATCACCAACTTTCCGTAAGATCCAAATAAACAGGATGCAATTCTCAACTAACCCCAGAGGTTAATTAACCAGTGTGACTTCTCAGACATTCCAGTTCTTAAATCTACTACGCCAAATTTAACGTCTTCAACATAGAAGACCTTTCTTATTGTCCAAAAAAAAAAAAAGCCTGATTTTAATTCCTAACTGAAAAAAATAAAAACAAATGCTTTACAAATTTCCACATGCAGCCACAGCACCAAATGATTTTTTTTAAAAAGGCATAACAAAAGAAAATGGAGACTTATAAAATAACATCACACATACACAAGGTGGCAGTATTCTCCTATGATACAGATGATGCACATATTCAGTTCCTTGCATTTCCCAGTAAGGTTGTTTGCACAATCTTTAACTGAAATATTAGATTTAGTTTTATAACGACCATAGAAGTCCTTCCTTTATTCTTTCTTTTAATATGTACAGTTTTTAAAGTAGCTTTTTAATTCCAAGTTTAAATTTTTTTTTTTTTCTTTTTACAATTAAAAAATTTTTATTGGGGTAAAATATGACAAATTTTGCCATTTTAACCATTTAAGTGTATGATTCAGTGACATTAATTACATTTACCATGTTGTGCAACCATCACCACCATCTATTTTCAAAACTTTTTCATTACCTGTAAA